CCCTCTTGAGAAGTCTTTTCCCACCGTTTACCCTCTACTACTCAGTGTCCTCTAACTCATGTCTGTCACTTTGAGTCCGTGCCATTCTACAGGCTCTTAGCCATGTACTACGAAGTCACTTGTTTGGTGGTCTTGCTTCACAGGGGGAGTTTTTTATCTTTACCCCCACCTATCCATTGGCACAAAACCTGACTCACAGAAGACACTAAGAAATTAGTAATTTGTTGTGTAAAATTGAATTAACCAGCCTCCAGTTTGGTGTCTCGTTCTCTCCACTAAAGTAAGCTCCTGTGTGGTAGGGATTAACCTCCACCTCAAGGAAGAACACATGATAGTTCCCAGAGAACCATGGTTAAAGATTCCCTGCACTGAAACATTAGCTTCAGCCTTCCTCAATTAATGTGGGTGTTTTTTGACCCATACAGAAGATTTACCTCTTTGGGAGTCTTCTGGGAAAACACTTCAGTTTCCTCTTTTTTCAATCCACCATTTATATTGTGAGCTGGCTCAAAATCCACCAACATCTTCAGAATCTAGAGGAACTTCTTCATCTCAGCATTTAAGAGCTTCTCCAGGTTTGTTTCCAAGACAGCTGTCCAACGACCTCTTCCACTTTGCAGTCTCAAATCCTAGACTCTTCAGTGTTGCCCAAACTATGACTGCTATACAATGATCAGGCCGTCGACTGAAATTCCTACCACCCCACATGTCCATCCATCAACATCCTTAAATACCTGACAGTGTGGTGGAATGCCCTGTCTTTCATGACTGGAATGAACACTCCTATGCAGTGTTTGACCTCATGTTTATGAAGAGTGAGTATCTAAAGAAGACACACTTGATTCCCGTTCTTGCTTGGAGCCATGGTAGTCATAGAGAGACAGAGACATTCTGAAAACACACAAAAAGAAACAAAGAGCTATGTGCCTTATTCCCCAGACTCAACCATTTATCTGTCATTAGTTAAGGGCCTGTAGTGTGATGGGCACTGTGCTCACAAGTTTACATTCTGTATATCTCTTGCTATTTCCACCAATTTGATCAGGTGGACTGTGATTAGCTTCATTATTACACACAAGGGGAAACCTGGGCTCAGGATGGTGGCAGTTTGCCCAAGGACCCAGAGCTATTTGTGTTTTGACCATGAGACCAAATCTACTTGTCCCTTCCTCACATATCAGCAACCCAAGATAAATATCCTCTCATTAAAGAGCTAAGTTACTTGCTGTATTCCTCATTGGTTCCACAACCACCATATTGGGTAGCTGGAACCTAGAAGAGAAGAACTAGAGACTTTACATCATCTTAGACATGACATTAAGTGACAGAAATGAACAAGTAAATAAAGAAAAAAGGTATACTTTAACAATTATTGTGGTGGTATCTGAGAGAGACCAATGTTCCATGTAGAGTTAAAACAAAGCTCTTAAAGCAATAGACACTGAACTGCAACATGGAGGGTGAGAATAAGATCTCCACAGGAAGAAAGCTTTCCAATTAGATGAACAGCTATGGCAAAGAATCACAAGGTACAGTAAGCCTCATCAAAGAACAGAGGAGCCAGTGGGGCCAAGCAGGAAGAGATGGGGAAGTGGGGTGAAGCTGAAAAACTGAAAAGCAGGTATGATGACGCCCAGTTGCTCTACTGAGAGAGCAGTCTCTCTCACCTGACTGTCAGCTCTCTGTGAGTGATAAGCACATGGATAAAATAACGGACTGACTCGGGTGGACAAACTGACATCCTCATATCCTGATGTGATTCGCCAATCGTGGCTTCATGGAGTCTAGAAACAAATAATGCATATACAAGAATCATGTAGTAGCCCAAGTAGGCATGAGAATATGCTAATTAGCACGCTGATTCTGCCAGAGAACATATACACATATGTTATCCTTAGTAAGTGTGATGGTCGAGTGTAGGGAACTTTGTGTTAGCTATTTGACAGGTGCTGCTGACAAGTCACTGTCAGGTAGTGGTTTACCCAAATGAGTTGCAAAATTGAGTTCAAGGTTGTATGGAGATCACAAGCTGGTCCATTTCTGTCTTCTTCCCTCTTCCTCTTTACCCCCTCTCTCAGACTGCTTCTCATGTAAGTCCCTTGTATCCCCATTCCCGGGGCAATTAGTCCTCTCAGGCTCCCCTGCTCACTGTACATACTGCAGTTGCTTTCCAGAGTTATGTCCCAAGTCACTGTCTATATAGCTCACTGCCCTGGGTAGCTCTGAGCCCTTGAGAGTGGCAAACTTCTCTCTCCCATTTCACAATGAGGCTTGACTCAAAATCCTCACTAAAAAAGTGTTTGTCAAGTGGACTTATCCTGACCTTCTGTCCAGACCTCCTTTCCTACAGAACAATTCTTCTTCAAAAGGTTCCCACAGCTTCCCTTCTGGAAAAGACAACTGTTCACAATCTATTTAAAAATTCAATAAACTTCCCTCAATACATTTATCACTCAATTTCTCACCCCACCATGAGCCATCAGGACATTCTGCCCTGCACAGTTATTTAGGGGCCTGGTAGCCCTCCATCACTGTAGAGTTCAGAGACAGGGCATTTCTCACTAGACATTCTGTCTCCAACCATCAGGAAAGGGATGAAGGCGAACATGAGAACATCCCGCCCCATGTGGGGTAGGTCTGGGATTGACAGTTACTAGTTCTGTCTACTTCACCCTGACTGAGTCGGACTTGGACCTAAAGATGGTAAGGGAATGCCATTCCAATGTGAAATCAGGAAGTGGGGAAAGAGATTCACTGAGCCACCAGTTCATCTCATCCTGGCCTATTCCCTACCAGCCAAAAGAATTTTTCCATGGGGAGGGGAACAATTTATGTCCTCCAAAGGAATCCAGGCACTTTCAAACAATCTTATAAACAACCATATTCAGTGATTAAAATGCCAAACCCCCATGAAGGCCCACAGTGACTCCTCAAGTCATTCCATGAGTGGAAGACAAGTTCTAAGAATAGTTCATATTTAGCAAAGGCCTGTGATTCTCTCTCAGTCTCTGAAAACATTTCTTTAGAGTGGTTGCCCTCATTGATATATAGAAATAGATGACATATGGATAGGTACATAGATAGATAAATACAGGCAGGCAGGCAGATGATAGATGCTTTTATTTTTGCCAAAGCCCTTTAGATAGCTGGTTTCAAATTGGTAAGACTTGAAGGTAGGGCAATGCAATAAATTTGACGTGGGAGGCTTTCTCCAACTCAAGAAATAAAATGTGGGAAACCCCTGTAGGGTATCATGACTCATTGAGAAGGTAAAACCAAAAATTCTCCCCTAGCCCTGTCACACACAACTTCATTTTAATTGCCAAATGAGGAACTTCACCAACTTGGGTGGGGTTTTCAACATGATTGGCGTAGCTGAAACACAGGGAGGAAGTGAAAGCCAAAGAAAGGAAGGAAACACTGATATTCTTTACAAAACCTGCACTATCACTAATGGCCTGGACTGTTGTGTTTGTCCCCCCCTCCCCAAAATAATGGAGTTACGCCTTCAACAGTAAATCTCTTCCGATTTAGAAACTAACCATGAAAATGCGCTGCATAGATCTGTTACGGAGGTAACCGACTGTGTGTCTCAGCTGTTGGGACGTATTGTATCCATTGGTGTGCTCTTAGCCAGTGACTAAGTGGAGTCCTGAGGGTTGTAGCTCAGGCTTGTTTCTGAAGTGTGGAGTTGCTTTAATGGATAATTGTGGCTCGAGAAATCCCTGTTGTTTAGATAGTAATCTGAGACTTTTTCAACCAAATTTCCCTTCTTCCTCCTCCTCTCCTTTCACAGATGTGAGGCCTGCATGGGGGTCTGAAGCCTCTCCCTACCTTCTCTTACTTCCTCCCTGTTTTCCTTCACACACAGGTGTTTCCTCAAACAAATTTTCTCTTGGGTATTCGTCAAGAACCTCAACCCGTACCTCCTACTGAGATTTTCAAGTGGTCAGAAGAGAGAGCTTTGGGCAACATCTCCTTACATTTAGTGTGAAATATGTTCATGAGAGTTGCAAAGATGTGGTCAGAGAAGACAGAGCATCCTCCTTACACACAGAGCGTAGTGCTTTGGGGAAAAAAGTCAACTTTACTTACCAGAGAAACCATTACCATTGATGAAATAAAGTCATTTCATCGTTTACTGCACAAGATTCATTTGAAGGGTATGTATGGATATTAACTCATCGTAGAGACCAGAGCTGAAGTCTACAATGATGAGGAAATGTCCTTTGAAGAGCCAAGTTTTAGCAAACAGAAATGATAAATACTAGCAGGGCCTCACTCCTGGTCTTAAAACTTTGCCACATTCTGTCTTACATAATACAGAATCAACCCAGACACGACCTGATCAGTCAGTCCAGTTCAAAGAAACTTACATCTGTAAGAGTGAAGAAATGTCCATTCCGTGAGAATTTGCAAGGCACCATTAGTTGGTGGTCAATGAAATTTTTAAAAACACCTGGTCTCATCAAGTGTTCAATATAATTCATGGGCCAAGGACCATACAAAGAGTCAATAAGGCTCCTCACAAATATAAGCTGAGTGTTGTCAGGTGGACTGCCATTGGGCATACTCTACCTTTCACAGTGAACTGCCGCTGTCTTTGCAAACTGTGTATTTCGGTGACTGGCTAAGTATTGCATCATCTGAGACAATTGCAGTTATTTTACTTAGCCTTCGCTATGTGCTAGATACCACCCTCAATCATTACACAACTTTGCAGATGTAGAAATTAAGGCCCAGAGACATTAGGCAACTTGTCCAATGTGCCCTACTAATAAGTGATGAAGATCGGATTCAACCCAGATCAGACATTTTCTGCTATGCTTTCTGCTTGTTGTGGAAATGGACAATGTGAGCGTAGAAATCCTCACCTTGTTCTCACAATGGGGATAAGATTGAAAATGGCTGGGGAGGTGAATTAATCAATAAAGTGCTTGGCTTGAAACATGAATACTTGAGTTCCGTTCCCAGGGACTGCAGTTTGAAACAGCTGAGCGTGGCCATCCCCTTGCATTCTCCATGCTGGATTTTGTCTGCCTTGTGCTTGTGCAAGCCGTGTGCCTGCTTTATAGTCTCTGAATTCATTTGTGCATCTGCCCTGTTGTGTCTGGAAAATGCAGAAGTTCTCTTTCTCAACTTGATCTAATTCTATCGTCCTGGAACCAGCAGGGAGAGGAAACACCAATTTTCTTCAGTGGCATTTACAAGTATTTCAACCACACTCCAGAGCAAGCTCCACACGGAGTAGTTGGCCAGAACAAATCAGATTCCATTATTCTGAGAGAAGGAATATGATATTGAATGATCGAGGAGGTAGAGGAGGATCTGAGAGCAGTTGGGGGAGAGCAAAGAAGAGGATTAAAAAAATACTGTTTGCAAGTCTAAAGATTAAGTAAAAATACGAATGATGAGAGCTATAAAAAGTGTATCTGTCATAAAAACCAGGTTGAGCCGGGTATGGTGACATGCAGCAGTGATGATTTAAATGGATTTGTTAATATGACAGACTCTAGAATTGCCTAGAAGAAAAGACTCTGAGCACGCCTATGGTGGGTTTTCTAGCTTAACCTCTGGTTATGTTAGGTTAGCTTCTGGTTATGTCTCTAGGGGATTACGTAGTTTAAGTTAATTGAGGTAAGAAAACCCACCCTGAATCGCAGTTGCACCATTCCATCAGCCAGTGTCTTGTTCTGCCTAAAAAGAAGAACTTTACCTATATGTAAGCATTCATCGCCTGGAGCACCCTATCACATGTCCCTGCTAAATGACATTGCCTATGAAAGAAGGAAAAACATGAGTAAAGAAACTGTACTCTGCTTCATTACATTCTAGTGATGTCTTGGTATTATTCAATCAGTTCTTTCCCTCCTTCCTCACTCCATCATAGAGTTATCTATTGTTCATCTCCAAGGCCAACGTAGGAAGACACAATACAAAGCCATGGTCAGTCAGTAGAGCAGAGTCACACCCCAAAGTGAGTAGAAATTTAGCTTCAAGTCACTGGAAACGGTGGCTCTGCCACTGCAGGTCTCATTTCAGTTGCCTTCCCAAGGATTTCTACACCAGTGTATCTATTTATAGTACATTTCTGCCATTTAACACATCATCTGACAGAGAGCTAAATTCAGAAACTACATTTAAATCCTAACTCCAAGATCATTGACTGCATTTTCCTAATTTACAGAATGGGGGTAATTAGACACAGCCTACAGATGTCATTGCACCTCTTGAATGAAATAACATTCAGAAAGTGTCACTCAACACTTTGTGTAGTATTTCAGTCATTCAATAAAATATGGTGCCTACTCATAGACCAGAGCCTAGCAGAAACGTCATTGGAGAGGCTTCATCCAGCAACTGATAGGAGCAGATACAGAGAACCTTGTGGAAGAGGGGGGAAGAAGGATTGTAGAAGCCAGAGGGGATCTGTGTGGCAGCCAATCTCAGGGATGGTTAAATCATCTTCTTG